TGACCCCCACCATCTCTATCCATGACCCTCTCCTTCACTCGGCCGGACGGCCACTCCCAAGCTCTTCCGCGACTACTGCTCTGACGGCTGTCGCTCTCAGCCCAACTCCACCTGCCTGTGTCTGGCTCCGTTGGTCACTCCGTCAAGCTCTAGAAGTTTCCGGGTGATTTGAATTTTTTTCCTATAATGTGGCTTGAGTTCTTTGTTTGCTTTATCTTATAATTTCGGACCTAGATTTCTTGAAGTAGCTGTGCTTGATTGATTTTAGCCTCCTCTCTCTCTGTCTGTGTGTTAGGTTTTGTTTATAATTTGACAGGGTTAATTTGTACACGGTTAGTTTCCTTTCTTGTCTTTTTTGTTGTTGGGTGTTGCTTTAAAATTTTGTTCTGAAACATCTGATTTATTTTCCTATTTTTCGTTCATAGTTATATATATATATATATATATATACACACACACTTTTGAATAAAAGCTCTAATTCATATCAACACCAGTTTGCAGAAAGAAGAAGAAGAAGATATCTAATCCTAAATTTCCCTCCCATTCCAACCGGTAAAAGAAAAGAGAAAATCATTTGAGCTTCAATTTCTAAACTCATGAGATCCGTGGTCTTTTTTCTTTTTCCCCCTTTTTTAGGAATACAATAATTAGTTAATGGATTCTAGCTTTATAGTACAATGGCTGGTCTTGTGAGGGGCCAAGTCTAATGCTTAAATTGGTGTTCCGATCTTTGATAAAAACAGGATGAACTGCTTTGGACCATTGTACCATGAACCAAAACTATGGAAATTAAAGCACATATTTAATCGAGGTATTGTATTGCTAGTTTCATACACTTGTTTCCCTTTTGCAGTTCTTTCCTGAAGGTAACAAAACTAGACTTGTATTGAATAGTACATTTAGTCTTATGAAACTTTGACCTGAATGAGTTTGAAAGCTATTTTCAACATGCGAAGCATGCCATATGTTTGAGAAAAGTCCACAAAAAAGAGCTCGACTTTATTGATTGTTGTGTTGTTGCTAGTTGTTATACTGTTACATATTCTTGTATATTGTTTTTTTAAGGGGAAATAGAATGTCTTTTGTTGTGTTAAAAATACAATTGCAACCGTAGTTAATTTGTTTGGGGCAATATTTAGTTATGCAGTTATCAGGTCTTTTTTTTTTCTATTCCAAGCAATAGAATGACTTTGAGCTCTGTTTCATATATGTGTGTGTATTTCTTTGGATAGGAAAGCCGGATTGATTATATATTGTAAGTAATTGTTTAAGTTAAATCTAAATGGGTTATTTGATTACCTTCCGTGTATTCAGGATGTCTTAAATTTGGGTTTTATCTTTATACATGTACGTATCAAAATATCTATGAAGAGAGATGAGAATAACAAACAAAAAAAAGTATAACAAGAAAAACAAGTTGTTGAATCAATTAAATTTTCATTATTTACTTCAATCAATTGAGTTCATTTGTTCATGTATAGTTATCAATAATAATGACTTGTTATCTATTGACATTTTATCTTGATGATTCAATTTTCTATGAAGAGGTAAAGACTGTGTAAAGCACAAAAGGGAAGACAACACCTGCAATGGAATTTAATTAAGGCGAGTATATTTAAGTTTATTATTAGGTCTATGAGTAATTGATTTGAAATTTTTATTTCCAATTCTTGAGCTATAAAAAGTCAAATAATATCATGTGATTGTTCATAGCACCTTCGTCAATTTTCTTATGAGTATTATTATGCCATGCATTATACGAAGGAGATTATTAAATCCTCTAATGCCAAATGGTTTCTTGGATCTGAGGTACATATATGACAGAGCTAAATTGAATATTGCAATGTTTTTTTGACGTTTCAAGTTATTACCTAATACTAAAATTGCATAAATTTTGGTTTGTTCAAGTGCAGTTTGATGGAAGACAAACTAATTCACAATGGAAGATTGAGGAAGTTTGGGTAGAATGGACAAATAATATCGTTAAATCCTGTTAACTGATGTGCCTGAGTGAAATTCATTAATGTTCTCTCTAGTTATTTAGAAATAGTTAAATCCTCTAGTGTCATGCGATTATGATACATACTAAACGTGTTCAAAGTACAAACTTTTTGTCTATGTTTGTATTAGTATTTTCTCTACTAAATGGAGAACTAAATGTTTGTATTAGTATTTTCTCTACTAAATGGAGAACTTTTAGTTTCATTATACTTCATACATTTACATGTAAAGTTGTTTCAAATAGCATCTATAAAATGAGAACTTTTATAAATTATGTATTTGTTGTAATTTTTTTATTTATATATGAGAACGATAAGGTAATGAGGAATGAAAAAAAAAAAAAAAAAACATTTTGTTGTCATGGTAGACAATTGTCGTCAAATATTTACTAAACAAAGAAAAAATTTGGTTGTGACTAACCACTTTTAAAAGAAGTTGCTAAAATGACTTGTTAAAAGTAGGTTTTTTAACTGTCGTTAAAAGGGGTATACTTATAACGACACTTGAAAAGATGACATTTGTACAACTGTCGTTAAATGTTTTTATCGATAGTTTAGGACTGCTGTTAAACAAAAATTCTGTAGTAGTGATTGATTAAAATAAGCAATAGAGTTGGTATATTTACTTGTGAAAGTTACGAGTCTTTGACCTTAAGAAACTATCACATGAACTAAACTATCACATGAACTATGCTAGTATGATCATTGGACTTAATATATATATATATATATATATATATATTTGCATACATCGCCACACGTCCATAAATAATACTTCAAAACAATACTTTGCCAACGTTGTCATTGTTTAACTTATCATTCTACATGTCGTTTCTTAAATCTGCAACATGATGAACGTTTACTTATTATATGCTTTTTTAATCCTACTAGAATGATTGGGCTGGGATTTTTAATAACCACCATAATAATTAAGAGCAATATGCATTTCTGATCCTGCTGGAATGATTCAGGTGGGTCATTTAATAATCACGTATTTTTAAAAGCAACAAACGCTTCTAATTGTTTCAACATCGATGTCAAATTGGGCTGTCAAAGTTTATTAAATTACGCTAATTCAATTTAACAAAAAAAAAAAAAAAAAAAAAAAAAAAAAAAAAAAAAAAAAACTTAAAGAAAACTATTTAAACAACTGACTTTTGCATTTATGCCTCTTGATCTTTAACCTTCGGATTTATGCAACAAGACAAATGTGGCTCGGCCTTCTCTGATCTCCAGAGGTTGATCTAGTTCCTTTGGAAAATATTGGATTTTGATTTCATTAATATTTGTTATGATTGTGTTAAAAAAAACGTGATAATTTTTTTTAAAAATTTTGGAAACAGGTGTTGATGTAATTAACTAGTAATATTGATATTTTTGAATAATAATTTTGAAATAATATGATAGATTACTCAATACCGGATTACTCTCAATAGTGCCAGTGATATGGGATGGTCTATACTATTTTTTTGAAATAAAAAATAATTTGGTAGACTATAAAATAATTTTCTAATGATCGGAGACGATCAACTATTTTCTTAATAAAAACTAATATGGTTGATTATAAACGGTAATCTTCCAGAGAGGAATGTCAGAAATCATAGATAATGGGTTATTCTTAAGTTGAAATTAAAAATAATTAGAGAGATTAAGACGAAAATAATCTACCTGCTTGCTCTCTGATGATTGACGTTAGAGACCGTAACACGTAATATAGTTTCTTTTCCCCCTAAAAAACCTTGATAATGAATTAAGTCACAAACTTAAATTAAACTAGCAATGCGACTATCTTTTTTTCTTTTTCTTTTAACTCTCTCTTAATTTGTATCTTCCCATTCTTCTTATGAATGAACAAGGCTGGCTAGCTATCGAGTTCAATCAAGTATTTAAAATTCAAAACCTACAAAGTTATAATTTATAAAGTAGTGTTCTTGATTTTTAATTCATTTGAGAATTTAAGTGTAAAATATAAGTGTGTAAAGGTCAAATCTTACTGTATAAATGAAACAATTAAAAAAATTAAAGAATATGACCTTACTTGAATGTTAAATTTTTGGGGTGATGGAAATGTTATTCAAAAACTCTACAATTATTTGTTCTTTTTGGCAATCCCTTGGGCCTAAGGTGGTGCCGCACGCGACGCCCTTGGTGAAAGTTCAAGGGGTAAAAGCGCTAAGGACCTTTAATTAATCAATATTTAACCTTCTCGTTTATTAAGTTTGGTGTATGTTGAGTCAATTTCTATCTTTATCCCAAATCAACTAATTCAATCGTTCGCTCACGAGAACTCTCTCTGTTTTCTTTTAAACTAAACGTTGTCCTTTTGTGCTTGTTAATATTTATTCCCCAGAGTACACAAGTGTGAAAAAGCCTTCAACAAAGAAATTGACAAAAGATATTGCAAGATTTCTTAGACCCTCTTTAACGTAAAGCCTATGTTTAACACGCACGTTCGATCATGTATTGTTTTGTTTTATATTTTAATGCATAGTGCTATGTTAATGCTATATATTTTATGCTTTAGATTAAAGAGTTTTCTTTTGAAAGGAGATTTAAGATATTTGATGTGCTAGTTATTGATTAAGAAGATTCATATGTTATTCGAGTTACTCCAGAATATCAACTGTGCCAACTCATTGCGTACCTTAATCAAACACGCATTTGACGGGCCATAATAAACTAAACAGAGGATTCAATGATTTATATATTTCACTGAACCAATATTGAATCGTCTGTTTAATTTATTAAGTTTCGTCTGGAAAGTGCCAAAATAGCTGTTGGTCAATAAAGAAAACATGGAGCATTTCTTGGTTATAAAAGACGCGTAGCCTTGCTCTCTCATGTTATGCCAAAAACAAAAAAATAAAACAAAAATACTCAGCAACAACAATGAAGTACTTTGCGTTGTTTTCATTGTTTCCCAAAATTATCATTTTTTTAGTTTCATTAGCAGATTCAAAACATACTCATGAAGACTTTCTTCAGTGCCTCGTCACTCGTATGCCCCACTCTTCCCACGCTCCTCAACCCATTATCTACACTCCAAATAATCCCTCTTATTCCGTTGTACTGAATTCATCCATACACAATCAACGGTTTTCTTCTCCTTGGACCCCGAAACCATTAGTTATCGTTACACCATTTAATGCCTCCCATATCCAAGCCACTGTTTATTGCTCAGAGAAACATGGCATACAAATTAGAACTCGAAGTGGTGGCCACGATTATGAGGGACTTTCGTACGTGTCCAACGTTGCGTTTGCTGTAATTGACTTGCGAAATCTAAACTTGATTAGCGTAGACGTGAAGAGAAAATCTGCATGGGTTCAAGCTGGAGCTACGCTTGGCGAACTTTATTACAGGATTGCTGAGAAAACTGCGAATCTTGGCTTCCCAGCCGGCGATTGCCATAGTGTGGGTATTAGTGGACAGATCGGTGGAGGAGGCTACGGCTATTTGACGCGAAAATATGGCCTCGCAGCCGATAATATTCTTGATGCGAAATTGATCAATGCTAAAGGAAGAATTCTTAATAGAAAAACTATGGGGGAAGATTTGTTTTGGGCCATCCGTGGTGGTGGACCAGCAAGCTTTGGAATCATTCTTGCATGGAAACTTCGACTAGTTCCTATACCACCGACAGTGGCTGTGTTTGATGTCAGGAGGACCATGGAAGATAATGCAACAAAGAAGTTCGTTCATCAGTGGCAACATCGTGCCGACAAAGTCGATGAGGATCTAACCATCTACATCACGTTCCGGACTGTGAGTTCTGTTGATAAAGAAGGAAACAAGAAAATTGTTCTTGAAGTTGCCCCCCGGGGCACGTACCATGGTAGTGTGGATAAACTCCTTCAATTGATGCAAAAGGAGTTTCCAGAGTTGGGTTTACAAAGACACGAGTGCATTGAAAAGGAATGGGTTGAATCCTTTTTATATTTCAATTCATTTAGAAATGGAGAATCCTTGGATTATCTGCTCAATAGGACATCTAATTATAATTTGATGTCATTTAAAGCAAAATCTGACTTTGTCAAAGAACCTATTCCAGATGACTTATTCAAAGGAATGTTGAGAAGGTTATACAAAGAAGAGGTCGGAAGAGCTTCGATCGATCTATTTCCTTACGGAGGGAAAATGAATGAGATTTTGGAATCCGCAATCCCATTCCCATATCGATTCGGAAACCTCTACATGATCCATTACTTCGTGCAATGGAATGAAGAAATGAATATTACTGCATCCAAAAAGCATGTGAAATGGTTAAAAAGGCTTTATAAATGCATGACTCCTTATGTGTCAAAAAATCCAAGGGCTACATATTTCAACTTTAGAGACCTTGACATTGGAATGCATAACAACAAGAGTTGCACAACAAGTACTCATGGTAATATTGCAAAAGCAAGGATTTGGGGTATGAAGTATTTCAATAACAATTTCAACAGGTTGGTTAGTGTAAAGACTGTAGTGGATCCAACTAACTTCTTTACAAACGAACAGAGTATTCCACCTCTTCGTACGCATAAAAAAATATGATTAGACATTCTTGCGGTTAAATTAAAACATTGTCATTAGCTTTCCAACTTTGTCATCTTGAATAAATGTCTTTTTCTGATCATATCATGTTAAGTGTATAAAGTTTACAAAGCAAATAAAGCTCCTTTGCTATGCTTGAGAAATTCTTTGGCAATATATTCAATGAAAGGTGTAACACATGCATAATCGACCATTTTCATTTGAAGTTTTTAGTCTATTGGACCAATATTAAACCATTTATTTAAACAAACATTCCCTTCCATTTTTCTAAACTTTATGTTGTGTGCTCCTCATTTTTGCCCTTAAAGCTACAGTCATAATTGTTTAATTATTATAATAGTTTACTTTTCACCGTTTGCTATCCTCTGTACATGACCCCTAGTGTCTTTTCCCTTTGTAAATCTTTGATAAGTTTGACTCTCAATGCTTGTGCATTATTAAGCCGACTAGAGTGGTGTTTTCCTCGCTGGACGTTCCACTAGGGCTGGCAAAATGGGTCATGACATGACAACACAATTCGAAAATGACACAAATTTTACGGGTTAGGGTTGAGAAAAAGAGGTTCGGGTCAGAATTGGGTCGACCTGAAATTGACACGAAAAACACGGGTCAATTTCAGGTTGGACCCGCCTAACCCGAACACGACACGAAACTCGTAAAAAACTAAAAAATACATATATTTTTCATTACATATTTTGATTTCCTTATGAACTTATGATATCATGATAGTTATACTCAAAATCTTATAGTATCATTTGCTTAATTTCAATGGATGTTATTATATTTTAGTGTGTTATGAATTTTAAGTTATTTTTAATATGTAAAAAACTAAATAAAAGTATACAATTTTCGTGTCAATTTCGGGTTCACGGGTCATTTTCGTGTCGTGTCGTGTCAACCCGTAAAGTGGTCGTGTCGTGTTCGTGTTGCGGTTTTTAAAAAATTTCATGTCATGAGTCGTGTTCGGGTTGACTACAAATTTAAAAAGAAACGATCAAAACACGACACGTGACACGAATTGCTACCCCTTCCACACAGCGTTTGGCTCTCTTGCCATCAAGTCACCTTTTCTCTAATTTTCTTCCGCTATTGTTGAGGGCCTCCTAGTGGTTTTTATGTTGACCTTTTTTTTTAAAAAAAAAAAAAAAAAAAAAAATCTGTAATAGCATGGCTCTCACCCCAATTAGTTTATGTTGTGTCATGTTTGTTTAGCATTTTGTTATGGTTGTTTTCTGTTAGATTTTTTATTTTTTATTGTTTTTTTTTTTCTAACCTTAGTGCTATGGATTGTTGTTAAGGTTCATGCAATATTAAGGCAACGTTTTTGAGACATTTTGATATTAATAAAAATTTATTTATTTATTTTATATATTAGTACAGTTGAATATATGTAAAAATAACTACATGTCTAAGACTGTCGTTTTAAGTCTTTAAATTGTACATATAATGTGTAGAATGTCTAAAAAATATGAATCTAAAAATGATGGCCGATAATGCTACGAAATAGAGTTAATTTGCAATTGTTACGCATGAAAATTTTGGTATGCATTTATATTTTCTATGTTCCTTGTGATATTTATTTTTTTAAGTTTAGTTTCGTGTATTTAAATTTAGTTTACTTTAGATTAATTTCATTTTAATTTATTTTCTATGTTCTTGTGATATTTATTATATTTTACTTAGTTTGGTATTAATTTTATTTTTGTTATATAGTTTTCCTTTTTAAAATAATTAGTGTTTTTCTCGTTTATGTAATTTGGTGAAAATAAGCTAATGTGCAACGTGTCTCCGGCAAAGTGGAAAGTCCCTTCGACACGAGTCCTTTATGTGAATGATATTGAGTGGGAAGTGGAGTCTTGCAGACGGCGACCGAGCCAGAATTTTAATTTAAGAGGGACATAAATTAAAAACGTGAAAAATGCTAATAAGATCAACTCTTAATATTTTCAGATGAATAATATATGTATAGACTATTGAATATACTTGAGTAATAAAGATTTTAGCAAATAAGTTATAAAAAAAAAAACTATTTAGAAGGTACATATCTATGAAAAAATAATAACTGCGAGTGTCAAAAAAAGAAAAAAAAATTTTAAGTATGTAAGACACATTTGAATAAATACATAATACTTCAACAAATGTAAATTAGAAAAAATATGTGTAAATATCAAAAATCTAAGGGGGCATATGTCCCCCGGGCCTCACCTCCCTCTGCCACCGCTTGCGGGTAGATGAGAATCCTTAACCACGAAATGATCTAGGAAAAAAGAGAGCTTGCACAAATGAATACAGACAAGTACTACCTGAGAATCAAGCAAGCTTATGACAAAATGGTATGTCATCGCACATTTGCTCCCGGAGACCTTGTGCTCTGAGGTTCAGATTACACTCAGGCAGATCTCTGGGCCATACAAATTCTCCCCATCTTGGAAGGGGCATCACTTTAATTGTTAAGAAAACTTTTAAGAGTGGCTACTACGGGCATCAAGTAATAAAATTTCATAAGTACAAGTATCGTGCCACAAGAATTGATAGGTAATAATTACCGAAATTGAGTTAACCTTAAATCTAGTTTGAATAGTTCAAAACAAGAGAATTTGTGATGAAAATTAAAATAAAAGAAATTAAGGAAAAACAAAACGCAAATAATAAATGATGAAAATTCAATATATAATAGGCTCTAGGATTTCTGATTTCCTAAGATGAATCAAACTCAAATTCTCAATCCCCAATCAATCAATATTTGTTCCTACGTTGATAGTAGATTTCTCTAAATTAATTATAAATCTTTCTCAATTATTAATAATCATACCCTAAACGTACAGACTTTATATATCTGTTAAGATTTTAACATGTTGAGATTTATTAAGAACAAGAAAAATCATAATCACTGCACTAGCCACATAATAATCTCCAACTTATGATGTTCTAATGACATTATAAATGAGGGTCACCTTTAACCATCACTTTTTAGTCTCAAAATTAAACACCAATTCATGCCAAAGTTGGCCAGACATTTACACTCATTAAGAACAGATTATAACAATTAGCAATTTGGTAAACATCGATTAAATTGAAAATTAAAAATATTGAACAATTATGATCCGACTATATCATAGCCCTAAAAAAGGAAATATAAACATAATTGCAAAAGAAAACATCCTAAACATGGTTTCTAACATAAGAGAAAAGAGGAAAAGAAGAAACTGTTTGCGAAATCGAAGGCCGAAATTCGTCTCCGGGTAATTCGTCTGGCCGAATTTTATAGAGTGAGAAAAGAAAAATTTTTCTATCAAATTCTACATCGTGCATGTGTTGGTGTTCGTGAAAAACTGTCACGACTCCAAAGATGAGACCGTGATTATTAGAGTTTAATTTAAAATTTAACTTAATTAAACTAGACTATTTAACAAAATCACAAAAATAAATACATAAATATCAATATAGTTTGCTCCGGAGACTTTCTTTCACAAATAATATTTTAAACAGTCCATAAAGTCCAAGAAAAATAATACAACTCTGGGACAATGTTGACCAATACCGTTTATATACATAAATACAGTACATCTCAAAATTAAAATTGTAAATCCGAAACAAACTCACCACTACAAATCTCGCGCCTTCAATCCATTAGAATACACTTGTCATGCTGTAAATTTAAATCGCTAACTCTGGAGGGAGCTTTAAAACATTGAAAACATAATAAAAGTGAGCGGAAGGCCCAATAAGATATAGTTTTTATAAAACATTGTAAATAAAAGTACTCACAGTCCGAAGACATACACCTAGAACCGATCATACAATTTTATAAAGCATTGTAAATAAAGGTACTCACGGTCTGAAGACATACACTCGGAACCGATCATACAATTTTATAAAACATTGTAAATAAAGGTACTCACGGTCCGAAGACATACACCCAGAACCAATCATCCTTTTTAGATAAAGGAAATACTAACGTAGTAGTAGAAAAATATATGTATAATGAAAATATGTAGAGTCATAACACCACTGAGCAAGAAATAAATCCGTACGGCTTTCGGGTCCTACCCTCAAGGATACAATTCCCATATCCCGATCTCTCAGGCCACCATGCATTTTATTATTTCTTAAAATATTTCATTTTAAGAAATGACACTTTTAAAATCTTATTTTCAAAATAATTGAAAAACTTAATAGCATTATTCATGTTATTTCCTTTAAAATCATTTTCTTTCAACATATTTTGTTCTAAAACATTTTCATTGGTCAAAATCATTTAAAGTCTAACAAAAATATGAACAATAATATCTTACCTCTTGACAATTTAATCTACGGATAACTTCACATTGTCCAACCGTCTATTTTTAAAGCTCCACAGCTCGCTATGAACCTCAACTCCATTCGCCTTGATCTGCGTACACAGTTCAGTAGACTTTTTAACAGAGTCGAATTGGCACAAATGAAGGTCACCATTGTGTTCAACACGTCGAAACGAGTCAGGCTATGGTCTCAGATCTTTGATTGGACATCGGGAACCTCAAGACTGAGACCTGCTGGAATCTGGCCACCGGCGGCGGCGGAAGTTGCCGGAGCATATTTCCGCGGCGAACTTGGGTCCTACCCCCACTAAATTGACCATTATGAGTTCAATTGTGCTGTCAATTTCACCAAATTCGGATTCTATCTACTCCGTTCAAACCCAAAGACGTCGACAAAATCCGGCGACCTGGTTCTCGATTTTCGGGCAATAGAACCTCAAAATTGGATGAGGGCTTTTGTTACCCACTTCTTTCTGAGTGTTTTGACACTAAAATCATGACGATCTAATGGTTGGATCATCAGAACCACCCCTTATCTGCTCGGACGGCGGCGGCGGCTCCATTTTCTGGCAAACGGTGGCGGGACTGTGAAATTGTCATAGGGGTTTTGCTCATCGTTCTTCTCTGAGTCTATTGACACTGGCGGTGTCGAAAACGGCGGCCAGGAAGGGGGTGAACGGCGACGACGGTGGCGGGAAATCCGACCACCATAGACGGCGGTGCTCCGGCAGAATCGAGCTGTGAAAAAGGATGGGTTTTTTTCGTCTCTTCGAGCTGAGTCCATAGGGACCGGAATCACTCCAATCGGAGGTCGGAAGACAAAGTTACGACGGCGATAAATTTCGGTAGTTTCCGGACATTTCGCCGGCGATTGCGGCTGTTTCCGGCGGAGATGGAGGTCGTGCGGCATGTCAACGAATCCAGCTCATTGAGAGCTTTCCGATGGTGTGGGCGGTATCGCGAAACGACACTGAAATCTCATCGGTGGTAGGTGTCCGGCGTGTAGAAAGGGTGTGTGTGTGTACGTGGGAGGGAGAGAGGAGAGAGAAAGAAGAAAGAAGAAAGAAAAAGGAAAAAAGAAAGGAAAATAGGCTTGGATTTTATGCACAAATTTGATAATTAGACTTTAAAGTTCAATTTAAATAGATTATGGAATGACTCATTATTTCTATTCTAAAAAATTGACTACCGATACTTAAAACTGTTCGAGGGACAGTAGTATCAATTTCAAAAAAATCATTTTTAAAGGGAAAGGGTCCTTTACATGATAATTATAACTGAAAATCTTTCACTAATCTCAGATTAATTAACACTAATCACCGAATTTGATTAATTAATCACAATTAATTTAACCGGATGTTACAGAAACTTGACTGTTTATTTGCTAATCCTGTTTTGTTTCAAGTGTGCCCACATACACATCTTCGTAGATTCCAGAAATTAATAAGGAAAATTCAGGTATTCTAAAGAGGCACTGAGCGAGGAACATTCGTGGTCAAAGAACTCAAGTTATTGACATAATCGTTTACTAGGTAAATAAATAAATTTGATTAATTTATTCGTGCATAAATTAATGTAATTTATAAAGTATCTCAAAGTTTTGTGAAAATTTTTGTTATACACGATCAGTTAGATACACACTTCGGCATTGAAAATCATTTTCAAAACCAACATAGTAATGGCTCGGGAAGCAAGGTCATTACAGTTAGCCTCCGAAGCAACAACATTACCTACTCTGTTAAAACCTTATCCACCATACCACTTGATTACTCCTCCCATTAACTTTTACTCATGTGATTTTCTATATATTATTTCTTGGATTTTCTAATACACTCACTGGGCATTTTGGTCATTTTGGAAACAAAGCGGACCCTAGAATATGCTTTCTTTAGTCTAATTCGGGCATAGCAGTCCCCACTATTTTCGTTGGAGGTCCTAACGACGCACCAACTTTGAGAGGCACCACTTGTCTCGACCACGCCAGAGTTAGCACCAACAAATTGGATACATCCACGCAGTCACACTTGCCACGTGGTACCTCGCTAATCTATCGGGCCCAACAAATGACAATTGTTTATTTTTCATTGAAGTGACATAAATAATATTTTTACCAGCATGAGTGGCATTTCTTGTTTTTTCTTATAAAATATTCTGATAGGTTATTTTTCATATCCAACTAGGTTATCTTTCAGATCCTAGTAGGTTATCTTTCGAATTTATCATTTATGCCACTAAAAAAAATATTATGTCAGGTTTTTTTCATATCCCAATAGGTTATCTGTATATCCTCACGCTGGATCTGCAACACACCGAGAGAAAAGAACGAGATCCGTCTAACCATCGTTAGGTTTGTCCATTGTTGATGACTCTCGACTTTGCGATCTCCGATGTGCTACCTCGGTGCACACTCTTGCACGGCAACGGCGGATAGAGGCGGGGAAGTTTGTTTGCATTTAGAGAGAGAGATGGAAGAAACAAAGAGACTGGACGAGAGCAAAAATGAAAAAAGAAAATAATCAGTGATATTAAGATTCTTTTAGTGGCATAAATAATAAGATTTTAAAAAACAATGGTTAATTATGTAATTTCATCCTTAATCTAACCTATTCCCTTTTTACCTTTTTTTTTTCTCCCTCTTCCTCCACATCAGCCCAAGTTGAGTTTTTCATGGCCAGTCTAGCCTAATGCTTTCAATCTAGTGACATAAATAACTAGTTGGATAATTTTAATAAATACCTTTTAAAATGATATTATTAAAAAAATTTTAGTCTCAATATTAGTCTATTGAATTTTACCATTTTAGAGTAAGTAATTTAACAGATTATTATCGATAATTTGACAAATATTGTGGGCGTAATTTAACAGATTATTATTTATAATTTAATAAATTATTATCAAATGGGTAGCCTATCACAATAAATAAAAGGATAGAAAGGATGTGTTTAAGGTAAGGGTAGCAATTTGTATTAGTGGATCGTGTCGTGTTAACCCGTTTATTAATCGTGTCAGAAAACACCAACCTAAACACGACCTATTTATTAAACGTGTCAAAAATGTCAACCCAAACACGATCCATTTATTAATCGTATTAATCGTGTCAACCTGTATAATCTATTTAAATTAATATATTGAATAAATAATTAATATAATAATGACTTATTTAACACAGTCAAGATATGTTTAACATATTTATTGGTTAATTTTTTTTTAAAATAAATAAATTTTACCTATAAATATTAAAATTCACATTATTTATATTTAATATGTCATATAAACTTTCTTACATATCATTAGATTACAGATGACATATATAATTAATCATATCAATTTATATTAAAAGATCAATCCTAATCCAATTCATTTATTAATCATATTAATTATGTCAATCTAATTATAATCTAAACTCATTTATAATAAATTCAAATCCATTAATTTCACAGTGGTTTCGTTGTCCACCCGGATTGCCAGCGTTTAAGGTCATTTTTTGCGATTTCTCTAACCAGTCGATGTTTCGCTTGTCCCGAGCGTGTGAAAAACACAAACGATTTCACTTGAAATCTACATTCAAAGAAAGGAAGCTGACAAAGAGAAAATCCAATTATCCCAATTTCCCATAAAACGTTGTCTCTTCCACTCAGATCCATTAACTGCCATTTTCTTTTTCAATCCCAGTGAATGTCGAAGAAGTATATTGCCGGGGAGAGAGACTGATCGGGAACTAAAAAACGACTCGTCGTTTCTACGCTCCGATAGGGAGAGATCTGGATTTACAACAATGGAGAATCCTCAAGGTGGATCCGATAGAGACAACAAGTACAGCTCCTCGGCTTCTCCCGCCTCGGTCGTCTCCAATTTCTGGAAAGGTATTTCCGCGATTCAATTTTCTTGAAGAATTTCCATTTCTTGGAGAAACTTGGTGGGAATTTTTGAATTTTTGAGGGTTTGGAGCTTCCGATTATGTTTTGGAGTAGAAATTGAAGCAGTTGATTTGAATAGAAGTGGAGAAGGAGGGGAAAAAAGTTACCGTGAAGATGAAGATTTCGCTCAATTTGGCTAAGTTCTTCCATTTAGATGATTTTCTATTGATTTTAGTAATTGATTTCAATTTGGCTAAGTTTTCAATTTTTTGTTGCTACATTGAGCACGTTAAAGAGGAATGTTGCGGTATTTTGTGATTTGGATCGTGATTTAAACTGGAGTTATTATTTTCATGATTAAATCGGTTCAAATCAGCGATGTCTTATTCATTTGGGGGTTTGAATCAGTAGAAGTTGTGCATAATCATACTGAATTACATATTCCTATGCTGTGGAATGAGTAATGGTTTAAGAAAGTTTGAACACGTTCAGAACATGAATTGTGTATTAGAAGGGAAATGTTGAGAAGTTATCAGCTTGATAATCTGTTTCTTTGGAGGTCCCTTGGAAACTCTTTATATTTTGTTTCCTTTTGATTTCTTCTATTACAATTTGTCTCCTTATTGTCTCTTTTAATTAAATGGTATCGAAAGGTGTACTGACATGCCACCATAGCGCCTATGGATATATTATTCAATATATTTTTTCTTTTACTCTCTTTTGCAGAGTTTGATCTGGAGAAGGAAAGAAATGTATTGGACGAACAAGGAGTTAAAATTGCTGACAATCAAGAAAACAGCCAGAAAAACCGGCGGAAGCTTGCAGAAAGTACTAAAGGTATGTATTTACTCTGAACAAGCAGTACTGAACTTTGAATCTTTTAAGGGGAAGAAGTGATATAAGAGTTCTAAAAAGTTTGAGAGTCCCATTTGCTCCACTAATGGATTGTTGGTAAGGCAGGAAGAGATCTCAAAGGTGTACTCGTCGTTGTTAGTCCATTACTTACGTTCTTGCAGTTTGCACCAAGCTATTTGTACTGATTGGAAAATGTTTCTTTCTACAGAGTTTAGAAAAGCTTCACCAGAGGACAAGTTGACTTTGTTTAATTCTTTACTAAAGGGATTCCAAGAAGAAGTTGATAATCTCACAAAGAGAGCAAAGTTTGCAGAAAATGCTTTTCTTAACATCTACCAAAAAATTTATGAGGCTCCCGATCCATATCCAGCTCTTGCTTCAATTTCGGTAATTATCTAAACACGTTTCATTTACCCATTACAGCATGCGCCTGGCAAAGTTTTGACTTGATTGTTTTTGTGCCTGCTATGCTACCTGAATGATTTTTTGCAACTACGTTGAGGGTTTAAGGATATATGCATTCAGCAGGTGGTGAATTGGAGATTCTCCTAGTATTGTGTCAGCAACGGGAAAGTTTCAATTATTGATTTATGTACATGTGGATGAAATGAGAACTTATGATAATGAAAATGTCAACATATGTAAACTGCATGTCAGTCACACGAGTGTCTGTTCTGCTGTTCGGCATGCTGTTTGAAGGCTGTGTTCTCATGTTTGTGAAATACGTAAAGTCATATTTATCTGTCTCTCTCTATGTAGGAGCAAGATCAGAAATTGTCTGAACTAGAATTGGAGAATAGGAAAATGAAAGTTGAGCTTGAGGAATTCCGGACAGAAGCAGCTCATTTGAAGAATCAGCAGGCAACAATAAGAAGACTTGAGGAGCGCAACCGCCAATTGGAGCAACAGGTAACAATATTCCCCCTTTTGAGTTCTTTCATGTTTTTATTTTTATTTTTTCCTTTACTTTGTAAAGGATTCCTTATCCTCTTTTCCTTGTGTCATGATTCATATATTAGTATAAGAAAGTTTCCATATCATAAAAGGACAAAAAAAAAGTAGGACATAAATTACATATTATATGCTGTGGTTTAATATTTCTTGCATGTCTTCATCTTGAAGAATCGACAAATAACACTCCATGTTCAAAGAAAATAATAAGACAGAAATCCTAAAGTCATTCTGATAAAGGAGCCCAATCACGGGATTCCCCATTATTCAAATTCCAGAAAAAAAAATGAAATGAAATTCTTGTTGTGTGTTATTAGAATAAAAAAGTGAAGAAACTGACTGAATTAAACAATTGTAAGAGAAATCTATACCTAGATTTTCCTTTTCAACGCAATCTTTGGCATGTTTGTTCAGACGGAAGAAAAAGTGAAAGAGATAGTGGAGATCAAGCAAAGAAGTTTGGCAGAGGAGAACCAGAAAACACTTGAGGTCCTAAAAGAAAGGTATTACTTTCTATGATGGCCTTTTGAGTTATAATTTTTTTTTTTCCGGACGATATAGTTTTAGTTGATGAACATAAGAAAGGAGTTAACTGTGAGTTAGAACTGTGGAGACAGACTCTCGAGACAAATGGATTTAAGTTAAGTAGGACGAAAACCGAATACATGCATTGTAGGTTTAGGGGGCATTCACTTCACTAACTCAAATTTTATGATTCGAGTTAAAAAACTAGATTTGAGTTTTAAAAGATTTGAGTGTAATTTGAAATTTGGAGTTTAGTGTTTAGGTGTTGACTAATTTAACTTTTGAAATTTGAATTTTGTGTTTACTTGCACAAATACCAAACTCCAATTAATTGATATAAATTCAATTAAGAAATATATTTATCATAAAAAACCCAAAAAAAAAAAAATCTTCTTCTTCATCTTGGCTTTACTTGCAGTTGCAGACCAAAAAATTAAACCCAAATCCTAATCAGTTTTCACAGTCAAATATGTGACCCCGCAGCCCATCCTTACCCAATATCCCGCCGTCCATCCTCATCCCCACCCACAACCCCACTACACCTCAGAACCCAGCCAAGCTGCCTCCCAATTTTGCCGCCTATTTCGCGAACCTAACCAATCGCTCCGCCCACTTCTCGAACCCAGCCAATCGCGTTGCCAACTGGTAAACCAAATGAAGTCGCTTCCCCATCATGTCGGACCTCCAAACATTTACGTTATGAATCAAACCCAGGCATTCAAAGGCTTTCTTCCACAATGATGCTCTGGTTTTTTTTTTCTAAATAAATGAGAGAGTTTTTCTTGCTCGTGTCAGCCAACGGCAAGAGGGGAGGGCTCCGCAATTGGGTGATGTGCTATGGCAGAGGCGGAGAAGTGCTTCCGACGGGGATGCTTCACGACGACGACTGAGTCAATGTGATTTCTTTGATTTGATTGGGTTTGGGTGTTGTGAACTGTGAATAAGAGCTGGATTTTTTCAGTTTAGGGTTCAAAGCGAAGAGAAGAGGACTTAGAGAAAAATGGTGGTTTAATTTGTTGGTATTTACTTTCTTTCAGTGAACGTGAACGGAGAAGAAGAAGATTAAGGTTGGAGATGGGAACAAGGGAAGAATGTGTTAATTAAATGAGGGGAGTCGCATAAGCTTTTTGCAGAGTAGGCATAAGCTTTCTCCAACGGGAAGAAATGTCAGAAAAGCAGGAATCTACACTGTAGAACATGACTTGAGTAATGGGAGTTTGAGGGGACGGTGAAGTTTACTTACTCGAATTTCAAACTCAAGTTTGAGTAAGCGAACGCGTATTTTAGCCCAAAAAAAAACTCGAGTTCGCCTTATTCGAGTGTAAGGCATGAAGTGAACGGGCCCTTAGTAACTCAAGTAATCAGAGTGATGTAATTTCTTTAGATGGTGTGGAGATTGAGGCTTCTTGGAAGTTTAGGTACCTTGGGTCTATAGTGCAGTACGAAGGAGATATAGAAGAGAATATTCAACATAAGATTAAGGCAGGGTGGGTTAAGTGGAAGAATGCTACGAGAGTTTTATGTGATGGCAAGATGGCTATTAAGTTGAAAGGAAAGTTTTATAGGACTGTAATCCGCCCAGCTATGTTATATGGTAGTGAATGTTGGGCCATTAGGAGAACATATATCTAAAATGAGTGTGGCAAAAATACGTATGTTAAGATGGATGAGTGGTCATACGAGAATGGATCGCATAAGGAGTGAAGTTATTTGTAGTAAAGTAGGTGTAGCACCAATAGAAGATAAGGTGCACAAAGGCCGCTTGAGGTGGTACGGCATGTTCAACGTAGATTGTTAGAAGCACCAGTTCGTGCTTGGGAGGACATTCTTATACCTAATACTAGGAGAGGGAGGGGTAGACCAAGAATTACGTGGACCGAAGTAGTTAGGAAAGACATTCTAGATCTAGGCCTTCAGCAAAGTTTAGTTTTGAATAAAGCTGCGTAGAAAAGTGAAATTCATATAGCCGACCCCAATTAAGTTGGGATTGAGGCTTGTTGTTGTTGTTGGGAGAAAAGTAGATATAGTTTGAGTTATAATTTTGTTTCAATGAAATTGAGGTAAAGTACATTGGTTGTTAACAGTTTTGGGAAGAATAATCAATGTTGTATATTTTATTAAAGAGTACACGTGAATATATATAGGAAGTAAGGAAAGCTACTGATAAGCCATTGTTGCGTGATTTTTATGCTCGCAAGTGCACGTGTCGCAGACAAGTAATAAAGTGTACAGAATACGGATATTGTCCCACAGATAATGAATCACCAAGTGTACATGCAGAAATTAACTAGTTTACTCATTAAGAATGATAAAAAGTTGACTGTTCAAAAATTACCCAATTGATTTAAATGCAGAAATGTATAATAAAATGTAAGAAAAGATTAACCAGAAGATCAAAAATGCTAAACTGGAGTGTATGCAGCGGAGTGAATCAGCTAGACCCACTAATTTCCCCTTAGTTGCAAATATGACAGAATGCTGCAAGAATGCTATAGCATTTAAGCATCATGTTAACAGAAACTCATTTATTGAGCATAAGATTCTTCCGAAGTGTTTATGTGTACAGATTCTCCAACCATTTCCAGCATATTCCTTTGTGAATCTAGTTTTAGAATGCAAATTAAGCTCAGATTTCTTTATGTTATGCAAGATGAACAATATATTCCTATACCATTCACAAATCAACAAACTAAAACAAGATTATTGAACTTGCATCATCTATGTTGGATCCAACTAAAATTAACCTTTCTAGTATTAATCTTAGTCATATATTCTATGATCGATGGCCAGCCAAAAACAAAAATAAGCATTAAGCATAGATAGATGAACATGAAATAGAATTAATCAACATTCCTCAAGCAAACATCATCTTTACAACTTTGGTTCCATTAGCAGATCTAGCTTAACAATTAGTTCATGATGGTAATTACAGAAATCAGATTTCCAAAGTAATCCATGTATTAATTAATAGCGAAAATAACAAAGAATCAAGCTAAGAAGAGGAATCGAGGAGTTGGATTTTGGATCTTCTAGAGTTTCTCCTTGCTGCTGCTCTCTCTCTTGAATTTTTCTTCTTTTATTTCACGTCTCTGGTCCTGCCTTTGTTTTCTCCCTCCGTTCTGTGTTCTCTATTGCCTTCTTTTTTCCTTTTGTTTTCTTTTTTTTTTTCTTTTGTACTCGGTGGTTGCCCCCTTGTTTTCATAAAGCAATTCCTCTTTAGGGCAACAAAAAGGGCTGAGGTGTCAATTGATAGGGGCTGAAGTGGTCCACACTGCTGTACAGCTCAATCAGCTCACATGGGCCTTTTGTTCGTTTCCTCCAGGTAGTGCGCTGATGTCATATTTGCTAGCTGCACCTAGAATGCTGCCTAAATGCTGCAGTATAGTCATAACATTCTCCCTGCAATTTGCAAAATCACAACTTAGGCATATTTCAACCTCTTTTTTTACTCAAATCACTCATTCTTAACCCGAGAGCAGCACAAGTACAGAATTTAGCAAGATAAAATGCAAAATCAGAAAATCTAAGTTAAAACACAGAGAAAACAATGAAATACACTATTGGCTAAGCAAACTTTAAGCTAAAAATGCATAAGATAATTCTAATTTTTTAGAGTTATCACACCTCCAAACTTAAAGTATTGCTCGTCCTCGAGCAAGACACACCAAAAACATAAACGAGAGCTAAAAACAACAATGAATAAAAGAAAAGAAGCACAAGTTTTGTGAATGAATTCTCGAAAAAGTTACCCTAAAAAGCTGGATTAGGAACATAGCTTAAAGAAAAATACAATTTCCACCCAAGTGTTGAACTTAACTTCAACAAATTGCCTCTTCTCCAATTGGACCTTTCTTGTGTGTATGTGAACAGCCAAGTGCAATATTATAATTGTCAATCTAGATGGGATAATGCACACATGCTCTAGGCTAAGATCTATAAGCGCATTTTCAAACTCGATAGGCTCACTTTTCAACACTCTCTTTACTAATGTAGATCAACACACTACCAAGGATCAATAGGACTTTTTAGGCTTGAAATGATAGGCTAGGATGAAGGTAGAATATGAAATGATGTTTTGGCTCAATTCACCCTTAAAGCACATTAATAATTCTAGGACCTCAAAAAGCTCAAATAACATTCCCAAGTAACACCCCCAAACTCAAGTTTTTGCTTCCCCTTTTCCACCATATCTACTTTTATTTTTATTTTACCCCCTTTTTTTTTTTAAACTACCAAGAGATGCCACACTTGCCTTTTTATGCGAGTGCCAACATTGGTGATGAAGACACCCAGTTACTTAACAAGATGCAATTCACGGCGCTTTTTTTTTTCTTTTTTTTGCTTGCTCTTGCCTTGGTTTACCGTTTGACGCAAAAGTGAACATGGGTTCATGTTCACTCCTGGTTACTAAGCATTCCAAAACAGCGGAGCAAAGTTTTTTTTTTTTAGATTAATAAGGATAACTACTTGGCATCAAAAGCTCCCCCTACCCCCAAACTTAAAATCAACATTGCCCTCAATGTTGTGAAAGAGCAAGTAGGGTACCGAAAAAAAAAGGAACAAGGAGAAAGGTAAAAGTAGGTTCAACGGGCATACTAAGGAGTAACATGTCAAGGTAGGCTCAAAAAGCTCAAACAGTCCAAAGATGACCTAAATCACTTCTTTGGTAAGGTGCTTAACTAGGATTTCACCTCAAGAGTGCATCAAGTAAGTTCTAGACTTTGTAAGACCTAAGAATAAAACACATTTATACAATCTTTCTCTAGAAGTTTAATGAATCAATAACACCAGGCTAAGTGCTCAAATGAAGAAATATCACAAATATGGAAGAAGACAATCATGAAGAAGTTAAGGACAAAATTGTTACGTTCCTGCACCAGTAAGCAATCCAACAATAAAAAACAGAGAGAAATTACTTGAAAATGGGTCAAGTTCCTTTTATTAATTCTCACAAAATACTCCTCCGAGAGATGGATTC